CTGGCATCATGCAGGAGAATAGAACTCTGGGAAAAAGGAGTGTGCTGTCTATTTACTGTGTTTACTCTTTTCTCCTAGTATCTACTTATCCTGCAACAGCTACCAATACCTACGCACACTAGATGGCCAAAAGTATGAGCACACCTCTCCACATTGAGTTTGGGCGTTTCCAGTGAAGGATATTGGTAATGCTACGGTGTACAATGACAATTAAAGTGACATTAAACCCTCAGATTTTTTAACATAAACCAATACTGTAATGTGCGCCTTACTGTAATCCATGGTTGTTTCCCTTCTCTTTGCTGCTCTTCCTTTTAAATCCTCATGTCTTCTCATGCTGGGGGAGAACTTCCCTTTGCAGCTGAGTGCCTCTTCCTGTAGTGCTGGCTCAGGTTGCAAACCTACACACAGACACCATATATCCATTTGTGACAAGGCAGTCTGCTGCAAAACAGAAGTTCTGCCCAGCATGAGAACAGATACAGATTTAAAAAGAGCAGCAAAGAGAAGGGAAACAACCATGGATTACAGTAAGGCGCACATTACAGTATTGGTTTATGTTAAAAAATCTGGAGGGTTTAATGTCACTTTAAGACAACGGTGCTTCCAACCTCATGACAACAAATTGAGGAAGACCCTTTTCTGTTTCAGCATGACTGCGCACAATGCCAGCTCCATAAAGATATGGTTTGACCAGTTTGGTGTGAAGGAACTTCAGCGGCCTGCACAAAGCCTTGAACTCAACCTTACTGAACGCCTTTGGGATGCATTGGAATGCCAAATGTGAGTCAGGTCTTCTCATCCAACATCAATACCTGACCTCACAGTTAAGTTTTGAAATTCTCACAAACACTCGGCTGTTATAGCCACAAAGGGGAAGGACGACTTCATATTAAAAAACACATAGTTTTGGAATGTCCATCAAGCTTTCTAGGTATGGTGGTGGTCAGGTGTTCAAACTTTTAGCCATATAGTGCACCAAAGATGAACTCCACCCTAAAGACAACCAGTCCGGATTGAGTCTATACAAAAATAACAATTTATAAGTATATCTACAGCCAAAACACTTTGTTAGCTTTGGATACAGTTTCGCTGAGGAGAATCACACAGTCATCATGGTGACCATTCAAATTTGTAAATGTAAAATATCGCTGTTCATTCTGTGCTTTCAACTCCGCCAGCTCACCTCAGGGAAATCACACACTAGCTGGAAAAGCCAGTTATAACGGATTTTCTAATACTGTTGGGGCTCCTCCAGATACCCTAATATTGGAGAAGTGGTGGGAAAATTAAAATGGAATTGAGGAGCCAGTCTGTCCAATCCAGGAGCCAGCAGGATTCTTTTTTTTTGGGGGGGAGTTCTGCAAAGACCGCCACCTCCTCCTCCTCCCCCCGACCCAGTCAGCAATTGCTGCGGGGGCATTCCTGGTCCCTTTGTGACGTATAGCTGTGGGGCGAACGCGCCTCCCCGCAACTGATGGGGTCGGGAGGAGGGGGTGACGGTTAGAGTTTTGAGTGGGACTCATCACTAGTCACAAGTTAAAATTATGCATTTTAAGAGACGGGAAGGAAACCTTGAAAAGGAGATCTATGGGGTAAGTGTTTTTCCCCATAGTTCTCTTTAGGGTCACAGGAGGACATATACTAGCGTCCTCCCGTGACCCAAAGCTCAGTATACTGCAAGCTGTAGCTCGCTTTATACCGAGACTGCTGCAGCCGGGACAGATCCCGGCATTACTGTGGAGATCCACCCAGCTGTATGAGTGACAGCGGGCTCTGCCTATCTAGCGGCAGAGCCAGCTGTGCCCGCCCCCTCCTGTTCCTCCACTCAGCGCTGGAGGATCAGAGCAGGGAGCCGTGACTGACAGTCACCGCTCTCTGCAGGGACATGATCGGGAAGTGAGCGAGCGATGGTATGCGTTCACTCACTTCCCGATCTATTGAGCCGACGTGCGTCAGTTTCATTGTCACACGTCGGCTCCAACTATGAGGATGAGTGATTTTCACTCTCCTCATAGTTCTCCTTTAAGGTTTACTGGTCCTTCAAGTGCCGATATCTGTTAATTCTGCTGAAACATGATAAAAGTAAGAAACCCAACAGCTTGCACTGCTTCCGTACAAGTCATTAGTGAAGCACTATCATCAGAACAGACATCTGCTGTTGCATGGGGGAGAATAATCTCGCTGGTGCTTCCAATCACTTCAATATGGAAAGTGAAGCTTTCAATATGCCTCATTAACACGACATATAAACAACCAAACTGACTAGGACAAAGTTGCAAGTCAGCCCCGAAGAACTGCACAATCTGGTGCGGAGATCTAGGCCAGAGTTTGCAGACGGTCTCTGGGGTAGAACACACACAAACCTTTGGGTAAGCAGCAATATCTGAAAATCATATAACCTGCAATGACAGAACCTGCTAGAGCCAAAGCAGACTTGTCTCCAGGTTCAGGTATGTATGATGTGTTATGTTCATCCAGGGTTGCTTCTCATTGTGGGGACACTAATGGGGGCTTCATGATGCTTTCTGAGATTCCTGCAGCAAGACCCTACATGAATCCTAGGTCACTGTACCAATTGAAGTTAATGACAGGGTGACACCGGTCGCATCCGTCAGCGCCAGTTCACATGTAATCATACATGATCCGATTACATGTGGTTTAGGATAGATGATTGTCGCTAGAATTATCCTACCTGCCTAGTTTTTTGGTCAGAAAACCCGCTCTGCAAAATACTCTGGTGTCCAGGGAATCCCCAGCTAGCTGTGATAGAGGCCATAAATCCTGATCACCACCCAACGGTCTTCCTACAACACCCTCCATTGAATAATTTAGGAGGAAATACATATGCATAACATGCCTATACTGAAAGCAGTGAATACAAGGAGCTCCGATTCCTATGATGAGGAAAACATGTACAGCATAGAATAACACGGTACAAGTCACAGGCGCCATGTAGGGCATTAAAGGAGAACGATGAGGTGAGTGATTTCCACTCATCCTTAGTTATAACTAAAGTTTGACAATGAAACTGTCTCACGTTGGCTCTATAGGTCGGGTAGGGAGCGAACACATACAGTTGCTCACTTCCCGATCTTCTCCCTGCAGAGAGCGGTGACTGTCAGTCACTGCTCCCTACAGGGATTCCCCCCTCCCCGCTCTGATCCTCCAGCGCTGACTGGAGGAACGGACAGGGGAGAGGGCGGGTACAGCGGGCTATGCCTCTAGATAGGCAGAGCCAGCTGTCACTCACAAAGCTGGGTGGTTCGCAAAAGGTATTGTTGGGATCCGTCCTGGCTGTGGCACTCTCAGTATATAGCAGGCAATAGCCCTCGATATACTGAGCTTTGTGTCACAGGGGGAAGTTAGTATATGTCCTCCCGTGACCCTAAAGAAAACTATGGGATAAAAAGGTTTCCCCATAGTTCTCTTCTAAAGGACCACGCTTGTAGAGATATTATACTGTGATGACTGTACATAAATACATGAATAGTGTGTGTGTGTGTATATATATTAATTCACATACGTTTATATTTTTCTTCATATTACCATGCATGCCATGGCATCCAAAAGGTGATGGCGGCATTGGAACAAACTACTGCACAGCTAAGGGGAGCTTGAGCAGGTTGCAGCAATATTCTTTTCCCTTTCATAAGATGTAAACCATATGAATAAACTGATATCGCTGTAAACACCCCTGGCGGTGTTATAGTTTGCCCCAATCTTTGTTCCAGTCACCTTTGTTTGGACAGTTTGGTCTGGAAGCCATGTAAAGAAATCCATATCATTGCATGTACAGTATATACCACATACAGTTACCAAGACAATATTTTTCAATGGTCCTTTAAGGGATCTTTCTGCCTGCTATTTGTCTATTTAAAGAAGAACTCCGGGAATGTAAAACAAAAAATACCCTTGCAGTGGGGCTACCTATGTGATATGTGCTGCAAGGGTTACATTCTTATTTTGTCCAGGGAGCTCAAATAAAAACAAATATACTCACCCGATCCTCGGTTCCACTGGGATACTAGCCTGGTCCACGCAGCCTCATCTCTTCTGGGCTTTGGTGGTCCAAGGATAGCCGATGTCATCGTGTCTAATGCAGGTCCACTGATTTGTATTAGACATGAGGACGCCAAAGAATATACCACTGCCAGAGCAGAGAGGGAAAGAGGAGCGCTGACCCCCTTAGGACTGACGATCAAGTAATCCAGCTGTATTCTAGCCACCCGGGGGGGGGGTGTAGGAGTATGCAGCAGGAAAATCCCTTTCATAAACATTATAGCTAGTTTTGTAATGTTGTATTACTATATAGTATGACAAAACCCTAAACTCTATCATGTCGCTGCTCATATGCCCCTAGTCACAACCATTCTACTGAATGCGGTGGATTATTGTACGTAGACGCGCACAGAGAATCAGAATAGCGCCGAGGGATGTGTAAATCTATACAAGCAACGCTTTATCCGAATAATCCTTCCCGTCTCTCAGAACAAAGGAGCACAGCCAGGGTGTAATGCATTCAATAATTAGTAGTGACTACAGCCCGGGGGTACGGCAGGTCTGGTGAATGGACCGAGACGCGGTTATTGCACTACAAAGATTTTATGGCTGTAAACCAATTACGCCTTCATCTCTCGAGTCATAAAAAAGCAGGTCGCCCGCTCCGGCAGGACGGATGCAGATTGGGTGTTTGCAAAGTAGGTGATTGCTGGGCTGACGAATGGGGCTCGGCTCAAATATAATTTATGCATCTATTATTTATCTGAATTAGGTAGCGTTGGCAGACTGGAGCATTCGACAGAATGCATGAAATGGCTTATATAAAAAGGAAGGTGAAGCTTAAAGTTATGACAAAACTAGGGATGCACCGATACTAGTATCTGTATCGGGGATGATGCCGAGTATTTGGTCGAGTTCTCGTACTGGCCCAAATGCTCCGATGCCTAGCACGATACTTCCGGTATCAGGAAGCCGGGCAGCGAGTCATTACATGCAGCCCGGCTTCCCGATTGGCCGGGAAGCCGGCTCCATGCTCCCTCATCACTTGTGACGAGGGATCATGGCACCGGCTTACCAGCCAATCAGAAAGTCAGGCAGCGTGTAATGACTCGCTGCCCAGCTTCCTGATTGGTCGGGAAGCTGGCCAATCAGAAAGCCGCCTGGCGAGTAATGACGCGGTGCCCGACTTTGATTGGCTGGGAAGCCAGCTTCATGCTCCCTCGTCACCTCATGACGAGGGAGCATGGAGCCGGCTTCCCGGACAATCAAAAAGCCGGGCAACCGCGTCATTACGGATACTTATAGGCCAGAAAGCTGGCTCCATGCTTTCTCAAAACAAAAAGCATGGGGATGGCTTCCCTGCTATTCGGGAAGCCAAGTGGCGAGTCCTTACATGCCACCTTGCTTTCTTAATGGGACTTCCGGCATCGGTATTCAATATCGGCGAGTACTGGGAAAAAATATCGGTATTTTTACTCAATACCGAAAACCAGTATCGGTGCATCCCTAGACAAAACAGTTCACACCTATGCGTCACATTAATCGCACGGTACCAAACAATTAACGCACGCTGTCGCGCAATGCACCTATAGTGTGTTACAATGCAATACAGGGCAAGGCGCAACACCGCAATACCGTGCATGTAAACAAACTAGTGCATGCACAACTAACTCATCACATGGGCAAGTTTTAGTTTTTTTAGTTTTAGTGTCCTGGAGACTTAGCTGGTCCCCTGAGCACCGGACCTGACTTCCTGTTTTAGGGTGACTCCTATCTCTTGCAGGGTCCTCCACAAAGACACAGCAAGGTCACTCTCCTCTCCCATGTTCCCCTCTCCTCCAAGCTGCTAGATGGACAGCTGATGGAGACTGTACTGTTCCTTAAGATCTTGTGGACAAGTAGCTCAGGGAAGCTGAGCTGACAGAATTGGAGCTGTTTGGAAACAAGATGACTGCTTTGGTAAAAAAAAATTGAAGACATTCTTTGCTGGGCAATGTATAATTGCTTGATCTGGACTCATTGAAAAAAGAACAAAAGTTTACTACTACTTTAAAAGAGAACTATGTGCCAACCATTTTTTGTCATAGTTCTCTTTAGGGTTCTGGAGGACATTTACTAATGTCCTCTTGTAACCCAAAACTCAGCATATAGCGAGCTATTACCTGCTATATGCTGACAGCGCAGAGCCACGCTGCAGCCAGGATGGATCCCAGCAACATGGTCAGGATCCACCCCCTACATGATTGACAGCCGGCCATGCTTCTCTAGAGGTAGAGCCAGCTGTGCCCTCCCCCTTCCCTGCCTGTCGCTTCAAGGAGCACTGGAGGAACAGAGAGGGGAGGGGGGAACCCTGTGGGGAGCTCTGACTGACAGTCACCACTCTCTGCAGGGAGAAGATCGGGAACTGCGCAATCAGCAGTACAGACATCCTCGGTTACCGACTTACCTGCTTTGCGACCACTCGCACTTATGACGGACCACCGATCGACCTGCGCGTCAGCGCGACGTGTCGCCGGCGGAAGTGATGTCCTCCAATCTTCACTGCGGGTCCCGGTAAGTATTTTCATTGCCCGATGTACAGTACACTGTTCGGTACTGTACATCTGCAACACTATACAGAACTGTATAGAGTTCCTCACTTAACGACCAATTCGTTTAACGACCTGGACGTAGGAACAGAACTCGGTCGTTAAGTGAGGAATACCTGTATGTGATCACTCAGTACCTGATCTCTACAGCCAACGTGTGACAGCTCCACTGTCACACGTCGGCTCTAATTATGGGGATGAGTGCATTTCACTCTCCCCATAATTCCCCTTTAAGCCTCTGCTGTACATCTTCCTGTTTTCAGCATAACCAATCACATTTAAAAGGCATTAAGTGGTGGCTGTGAGAAACCTATTAGCACTAAAATGCGTTTACATCAGTACAGGCTGTACCCGGGAGGCAGTAAGAAGCCTGCAGTGTGTTCCAGCACTTCTAGCAGGTGTGTTCCAGAATCATATTACCGATGAAAGGGACTGGTACAAAAAGGCACATCATTACCTGAACAAAATGAACTACATAGCCGGTGGGCTGTGCTTCCTGTATATTCCCCCCCCCCTGTTTTTACCAGAATGTGTCTTTGTGTGTTGGTGGTAAGTTACAGGTCAAGGACATGAGCGCTCACACTGAACAACATTCATTCTGAGCATACGCCATCAGACACCCAGTGGCAAAAATCAATGTACTGCTATTGTAGATGTATCCAGTAATATTCCACCACATTGCTAATCTGTCTACTGGACCTCTTTCAAACCCAATGTCTGCCAGGTTCTGAAATGCATTTTCTCTTCGACTACAAAGACTCTCGTCCCTTGCACACTATCCATAAGAAACGTTTCATCATTGTACCTTCACTGTAAGCCGTAAGATAAATGAGAGCTCTGAATGCTTTATAATGCAGCCCATGCTGGAATGATTACACAGCTTGGCCACTTTCAATCCAATGCAATGCAATTTAGGCCACTGTAAAACCTCAGGCAACAATATTGGTTGTCTGCCAAATGGGAAAGAGTGGAGTAGCAAGCAATTGATCTGATATCCTTTTCACGGACTTCTACGAGTCTCCCCATTTCATTGGCATTCATCCAGTCCTTCCTTGTGAAATAGGATTTCAGGTCTGAAATTAAATTGCCACAAAGGTCTCAGCATCTTTAGTCTATAACCAGTAATATAAATAAAGAAGATAGCCGAGAGCCAGGGTCCCATCACTAGAAAAATGGTTACCAGCGTGAAGTCCTACCTTGTCACTATATTGGCGGATCTAATGGAGAGACCTCTGGGCTTGTCTTGTCTGACAGTTACAGGCTATCAAAGCCCTGATTTTTTATTTTAACAGTGTATTTATTGGTTGCAGAAATTGAAGGATGACCATACAAACATTTTACTTCCGTGAGGCTTCTTCTACTTTTCAAGGAAGGGTTAGTGTTCTTTATGAGCTGTGCATACAGCATTGCTTCCAAGATCATTATTCTCCCATAGCCGTTCTATAGATCTTTAGGGAGGTGTGATAAACCTCAAATTACATTAAAGCAAACTTATTTTTAATGCCTGCATGCTGAAATATCAAGCCAACGTTTGTGCATGTGCGCATACCAGCAAATCTGTGTCACCTTTTGCATTATCTTCCATATTATCCATATGCCATCTTACCTAGTCTGTTCCTCAGCATTAGACGGAGGTGATTAAGTGGAGTGAATATCTGAGGGAAGTGATGTAATCCCTCACAGGAAGAATTCTGCAGGAACCAATTTTCATCCTTTGCCAGAATCTGGACGATTTCATAGGGCTACTCTATCCCCACCCTAGTCTTTCCCCACTCCCCATTACCAGAAACTTTAATTGTTTTGCTAAAGGAAGTTGTCAAATCAAATGAGTAGTGAACACAGAGTGGGACTGGAAGGGGCCACATTGCTCAGTACAGTGATGGAATCTGCCCCTAATGCAAATGTTGGAGCATGACGGCATACTAAAACTTGCTATTCACTGTTTGTAAAACTCACCCACAGCTCGATTTTCCAAATTCAAACGATTTGTAGAGAGAGCTGGGTGGAAAATGTTTGGCCAAACATTGGCTGCATCCAATCAGCAGCCAGTCTAACAATAATACAATAGCCGGCAGGAAAGGTTCCTTCGCCCATGCTGTTTTAGCGTGGATTTCACTGAGCGAAAGATATCTAGAGGTGGATGAGGGAGATGTAGAAACCCTGAGCCATGCAACCAGCAGACACCAAGCCAAGAAGTCGGAGAATCCAAGGTCCCGCACTGCACCTGGGAGACCTTCTGGAAAAGCCACAAGACACATACATAGGGGGCATTTGTCAATTATGTTGTACAGCAAGCTTAACAGGAGCAGAGACCAAGATTATCCAACAGATTGGTTACGAGGTTACACCTCGAGTCACAAATGCCTCCTAAAGTAGCACTATGACAGAATAAAACCTTCACTTCTAAGAGCGTCTAGAGTGAAAATCTGTCTCCTTGTCAAATACACTGTAAACCTGTCACTGAAACTTGTGGTTGTGGTATGTGGAACAATCACACCCTTCAGCATGCAACATTCAGACCCTCAATCTGAGCTAAACTTCTAAAAACTCATCCGCTATTCAGGAATTGAACGTTTTAGGTATCATTATCCACGGTAGATATCAATGATGAAAAAACCCTCAACCTACCAGATCACTAGCAATTGATAACATATGATCGAGTCTCCAAGGCTTTATTTTGTATGGGTCATACAAACCCACAATAGCCGCACCAACATTTCTTGCTAAGAAACGTTACTTTTCTAACTAGTCTGTCTTCTACTGTACATAATGGCTACAAAAAGATATTTTGCACACTCGGAGCACAGAGTCCTATCTTCTGTGTATTCACCATGCAAGCAATTCACAATTAGTTACTTGGGGTAAGTAAGTTAAGGATGGGTTTATCAATTAAGCAGGTGAGGCAAGGCAAGTCGAAAAGTATTTGCTGTGGGGAAAGGGTTTAGCGTGGGAATGTATGTAGCACTCACCTGTAAACTGGAGATGTGCTCTTTCTTGGACGAGTCGTTCGTGGTCCCTTGATAGGTACTATCTGGTAGTGGTAAGGAAGAATCCTGCAGTCCTTTGTATGGCTCTCCAAGGGCATCGACTTTCTTGGTAAAACTGTTTAATTCTTGTTGCAGCACACCTAGTCTACTAAAAATGGCACTGATCAGTTTGGAGTTGCTGGTGACTTCACTATTATCAATAGCTTCTGTCAACAAGAGGTCCCGACAGTCATTATTTGTGCAGAGCTTTATACCGGATGGAAACCCATTGGCATAAGATGTCAAAACCTCAATTGCTTTGCTGATCAATTCCACTTGTGTTCGAATGCCAAAGAGACTTTCCAGCTCTTTAATCTTTGGTAACCTGGACGGCGACGTGTGACAAGTTTCTGGAGATTTAACCGTTCCCTTGCCCGTGCATTCTTTTGAATCTGTAGAATCCATTTCCCCACCAATTGGCCCTTCTCGCCAGAGAGGTGTTGGGACGCATTGAGCAGAATCTCCTGCTTCAGCATCCGTCTCCATGAAGGGTTTTGTGGTTTGACATGATGCCAGATCATAGCGTTGAAGATTTGAAAGAAGTACCCGATTCTCATACTGGAGTTTCTTGACTTTGCCACCGAGTTCGCTGATCTGCATTTTGGCAGTTGCGAGTTCCTCTTGAGAAGGTTCGCTGATGACAGAACAGCTGTCCTCCGACAAGGTTATGTCCAGGTCATGGTCAGACTTGTATTTATTGAGCTCATTCATCAGCAGCTTGTTTTGGTCCTCTAACTCCATCATAGATCTCCTGAGAAGGTCCGCTTCTTCTTCCACAAACTGCAGATGCCGTCTGAGCTCCACAAAACTGTCTCCAGACTCTCCGGACAAGAAAGAAAATCTTGAATCCTGACCAAGATGATCTCTATCGGCATGAACTTTCATCTCATCCATTTCAGCCCTTAAACCCCTATTCTCAACCTCAAGTTCTACCATTCTTCGACTCAGGAGGTTGGCTTCCTCTTCAACAAGCTTCAGATGCGACTTTAGCTCAGCTTCTCTAGAATGTGAAGTGTTGGCCAGTTCATCAATGGACAATGAACTATCTAGGTCTCCATGCATGGACCTGTACTTCATCAGTTCTTCCTTCATGGTGTCATTGTCCTTTGCAAATTTTGATAGCTTCTTACACATTAAAGCAGACTCCTCTTTTGCAAAGTGCAGCTGACATTTGAGATCGGCGTTGTCCTCCTGGAATTCAGAAAAATTGTTTTATATAGTTGATTGCATGCAAAAAAGTTATTAATGTTAAAATCATAAAAACTGACTTTTTATAAACAATGACAGCAAGTTAACATATACAATACGGATGATTTCTCAACATTCATATGTTGTCATCATTGCATAGATTATGCATAGAGGCAAACAAAAGTATGTCTCCACTCCATCACAGACTGAATTAAAAACTTCCACCAAAAATATTCTCCTTCCTGTCACAAATGACACACATGATGTGATCACATGCACAATCTGGTCAGTGCATGACAAAGAATTGCATGTTAAATGTGCCTAAAGCAATACCCTGAAAATTGTATTTTTGTCTTAAAATTCTCCTTCAAAATAGCCGTGCACATCCTGTGTCTAGGCTCTCATGTGGCTGAGCCTCATATGTGCATATCTGCAGTGCGAGATCTAGGAGATCTAGGGAAATTCAGTCTCAAACTGCTAGTCTCAGGAGATTTGGAGTAAGGGGTGGTAATGACACGACTGTGCTGCTTACTCTTCTCCTTGCTGGAGAAGACCTGAACCCAAGAACCTACAGTGCAAGAATTTTCCTTCTTCAGCTTTATTAAATCTTTAGATCAGGGCTTCCTTACCCTCTTCTGCTGTTTCACGATTGTTCCCCCATCAGTCGGACAGCTCTGGCAGGAAGCAAAGCCCTGCCTCTACCAAGATGGCCACCTTTACCCAGAAATACAGGGCTACAGTGCATAACAAGACATAGTAAGTCAGTAACGGGCAAAGAATCAGCTGCAGTGAGACCACAGGCAATACTGGTGACTAGTCATTTGTCCTCTGCTTGCCATTCTTTAGGCACAGCTTCCACAGGACAGGTCCTCCTTTAAGTGAGGTTACATATGTACAAAGTCACCCACAATGTGCACAAATGTTCAATGGTTCAATGCTGGTTTGCCATTTTAAAACACAATGAAGGGAATTTATCAAAACTGGAGCAGACAAAATCTGCAACAGCTCTGCATGGCAACCAATCAGCTTCTCTCTTTCATTTTCAAATCTTAACTGAACAAATTGAAGAGAGAAGATGATTGCTTGCCATGTTCCAGATTTAGTCTGTTCCAGTTTTTATAAATTCCCCCCAATGACTTTTGCATGCAGCTTTTAGTTGCCTTTTATTTAAATATTCATAGGATTGGAATGGAAACATTGATGGGAATTTACTCCCTTTATTGAGCTGGGAAAAACACTGCAAGCTTAGTGCATGTACTCCTCAGCATTCTCTTTCTATAAAAAAAAAAAAAAAAAACACATTCTT